GYKCRMSRTWWTTTTTTCTTTTTGATTTTTCTACCTGGATTACCGAGATGCATCGGGACAAGACAAAATAAAATCATTAAATTGAGAAAGAAAAATCAATTCTCCTGCTGTATTAAACGTTTGTGAGTTCAAATGTGTTTTATGAAGTGACTTAAAAACACTAAGGTTGATCCAGAGACACAAATGCTTCGTGTSTTCACTAACAGGCCTGTTGTATTTCCTACTGACTGCCACTGGAGGGCACTGTYACGTAGATGTGCTAAGACTGAAATGTCCAGTCATCCTGCTGATTATTTCACCATTCATTTCCCTGTTGTTGTTTCATTAGCAGAGGAAGCTGTTTTACAGCAGACATGTGACATGCAGTGTGTTTCCAAATTTTAAACGTGTAAAAGGCTGACAGAGAACACTGAGGCTGCTCTTTTCTATACCCCAGAGCAGCATCTGATACCTTTCAGTGCGATCTAATCTTCCTGTATGCTACAGCTCTTTGTGATTAGCCTCAAAAGCAGACTAATTCTTGTTCATCAGAGTTTAAATGTTACTTTTATTRCCTTGAAGGAATGCATATCACRCACCACCTTTCATGCCAAAGTTTCAGACTAAGATCATCTTTTGATTAGAAGGAATGAAGTTATACAGTAGCTGCTTTTGTCAAACAAATATTGTGAGATTTCAGTGGCTGTCATAGACTAATATCTGTAAATTTGAGTTAATTATACCTATTTTGTGTTGTATAAGTTTGATTAGCTCTGACAGCCATCTTGAACTGAGTCCACCTCAATAAGTTTTAGACGCACAACCAGTGGTTTTTAAAGAGTTTCATAAAAGTTGGCTTAGTTACTAATGAAGTGCCAAAGTTTGAAGCACAAACACCACGCAACATGTAATGCTTGAAGTGTGTGTTGGGGGTGACGCTCAGCTGGTACCACACCAATTTTTGGTTTATTATCTGTGAAAATATTTGAAAATATTATTATGAAAATAATATGAAAAGCGCTATGGGTGCACCAGAACCAGAATAAACAGATTCAAAAACAGCTTTTTCCCAAAAGCCATCACCATACTGAACTCTCACATGCACTGACTCTTGATTTACAATCAGCTAGAAACTTACTGTGGAGTAGTGGGACAGATGTCACTTTATTTTGTTAATGATCACCTGCAATACCAGCATAATCCATACATCCCAGTATCCATAATGTGCAATATTTAAACAATGTGCAATAATGACATTTGACTTTACTTTCTACTTTAGTTTTACATTTAAATTTTATTTTCATTGTGCTATTTATTATTGTTGTATATGTGCAGGTATTTGCATATATATACGTGTATATGCAGATGTATATGGGCATATTTTAGTACATTTTATTCTTTTCTATTTGTAGGAGTGGCTCTTAATCTCATTATGTATGTGTGTAATTACAAGGCATTCTGTTCTATTCTATTCTATTCTATTCTATTCTATTCTATTCTAAATGGCTGAGTTATAACTTATAGCTTCTTAAGTCACTCAGCTGTGGGGTTGGCACCAAAGATTAATCATTTTGTAACCGTCCATCCAATGATAACTACTGATCACTTCCTATATTTGGCTAACAATACAAACAAATGAACAAACAGACACAAGACATCTTCTCAGTGGAATTAGCTGAATATTAAACTATAATAAACTGTTTCCTTGGATCATCGTACCATGGTGTTGGTTCCCAGTAATGTAGTTTAAATACAAAGTCAGTTTTACAAGTACAAATTTGATTCGGCTAAAATCTGAGCCCATAGACCAGGATGAGGTCACTGCTCACCTGTGACTCATGTCATGTTCTGTACCTCACTGATGAATCACTGGGTTGATTACTCAAAATTGGTCACAGTTTAATCAYATGTAAGTTCATTATCCAAATATAGGATCCTGAACAAAACCATTGATCTCATGAGTTAATAAGTATGGAGGTACAGTGGTAAGCTGCAAGTACATTTTCATTACGATGCCATTTTGCTGTGTCATTCCCACTTTGATGTGCCATTCTTAATTCTTAAACAAAATACTCTCTTGTGTTGACTGCAGATTTACAGTTTGTTAGGTTTCACTGCATATCTCAGATAAGTTCGATTTTCTTTCCCAAGGTTTTATAATAAGAATTTAATAATATTTCATTTTATTTGTAGGRGCTTTTATAGACACTCAAGAACACCATATGAAACAAGTGATTAAAAACAATAAGTAAAACAAACAAGGAAACTGAACAATGCAATAAATAATACGAAAACAAAAAGAAAGGAAAACTAAATGAAATAATCAGTTTTGAAAAGGTGTGTCTTTAGACTAGATTTAAAAGTTGAACGTGATTGAATATTACGAATTTCAGGGGGGAATGCATTCCAAAGATGGAGYGCAGAGTGACTGAAGGCCCTGCTCTCCATGGTACCACTGAGACGAGCAGGAAGCACCGTGAAATGGGTGGCAGAGAAGGACCTGAATTGTGTAGAGGCTTGAAGGATTTCTGAGAGATAGGAAGGAGCCAGGTTATAGATGCAGTGGGGTGAAAGTTTGGGCAGCCTTGTTAATTTTCCTGATTTACCTTTAAAAATCATTGATTGTTTGGATAAAAAAATCAGTTAAATAT